GAAAAATTATTATGTGTTGTCTGGTTTGCTATAATAAATTGTAATATTTAATAACAATTATTATAATATTAGATAAAAACTTAATAAAAAGTATAATTAATTTTATAAGTTTACTATTTTTAGTTCATGAATAATTAGCTTTGAATTTCAATTACTTTTAAATGGATTTGTTATAATAGTTTTAAAATAGTCTGTCAAATATTAACATACGATAAATTAACTGAAAAATAGTATATGTTTGTCACAACTTCAAAGAATTGACATTCTTGGGGATTAAGTTATTGAACAATTGACATAATTGAATAACATTAGTAATTAGTGAATAATATGATAATAAACATTACAGTAGATATGATAATAACATATATTCTTTGGTATAAAATTATTATGATCATTAAATTAAATTAATGCAACCCAAAAGTCAACCCAAAGTATATTTATTAACGACTAATAAATAGTATAATTAAAATAATGTAAACCAAAAATAAAATTAATTTACAGTGAAAATGTCATAAAACACAAAATGTGATTATTTTATAATTGTTTGAGTATTTAAATAACATATATCTTATTAATCGATGGCCTCTTTAATGTACATATTTGATAGATATAACAAAAGCTACTTATTTATAATGCCTATAACTATAAATTGATTGTATAATATATTGATAATATGGATAAATGAAATCAATAATTAGATTAAAACTTTAATAACTTATCAAACCTTTTATTCGGAAAATAATGTTCAATCCAAAGATGTGCAAAATGGTAGTAGTAATATATCATAGCTTCTATATTTGTATCTTGCTCAAAATGTTTTGCATGTTTTAAAGTTATACTTATGCATTGTATAATGTCTAGTAATTTGTCTAGAGCAGTTTGTAGTTACTATCGCAAGGATTGAGAAAAAATGGCACATCTCTGGACATAATAATCATTTGTGTTGTTCGTAGTATTGAACCAAATACCTAATAATGACTTGTGTTTTGTCAAATACAATAAACTGATTGATATCGAAATTGGTCTTGTCTTCCAGTGTCTCGTCGTATACAGTCTTCCCGGTCGGCACTACAACGCCTGAGCCCACGAGTTTGCATTTATTGACGTCGGGCTGATACCTACCGCAACATTTGATACAGTCGTACCCCTTGGGCACGTCCACGAAGTACTTCTTCTCAAACACGCGATACCTTTCAAACAAATTATATTCACAATTAAAATAACAGCATTTCAATAGAGAAGACATCAAATATGTTCATTATGTGCACAAATAGTATTATCTGTTAAATTCACTTGAGTTTTAACCTTTCATTTATACCCGTGTGAAATACCTTTAGATGTCTAACAAAAATTTATGCATAATTATGGGCAGGGTTAAAACTCAAATTAACTAAATACTGTATTAGATTATATACGGATATAAATGTCAACAATTGATTGTTAGTACAATACAGTAAATGTACATAATGTAAAGTATTATATGATGATACTATTAATATATTCATTGAATGGATTATCAATGAGTACTCTAGAACATTTTGTTTTATTTAAACGAACATAAGTGATTTGTCAGTGTATCTAGAATACTTTAAAATTAAACCCATTTATTAGAAACATATCTAAAAAGATAAGATAAGAAATTCTAGACAATACTTGGATAACAATTATAAAAACACAAGAAATTAATAAAGAAATCTCATCATGGATTAAATGCATTACGTGTATTATGAGAATTATCTAAATTGCAATTATATGGATGTACTGTACTGTACAGGGACAGGATGGACATTGATTTACTATATTACCATAAATTATTATTATAAACAATATTGTATGAAATAGTAAAATGAAATATAGAGATATATTCATAACTTAATTAGCTGAGATTAGTCTCAATTTGTGATTGAAATTAATACACTTTTTATATTTCAGTACTAAAATCGAGGCTAATATTTAGAATAATTAATAAGTTTGTCTAATTCATATATAAATAGACTTAATTCCATAGCAGTATAGCATATAATTACAGAATTAGATATTTATAATAAATTACTGCACAAAACAAAAAAATATAACAAAGAGATAATTAATCAAAAGCACAGAATTTCATTACAATTATTAATGAGTATATTCTTTAACGAAAACATATACTCTGATCAATAATCTTATTGAAATATACTTAAATGAATAAATGTTTTGTGATTAATGCAAATATAAAGTCTGGTAATCGTTGCTATAAACTTTCAGCAAAAGAATCTAAAAAACAAAAACAATTATTCTGTAAACAAATTCTAAACTGATTTCATAAGTTATCAAAACCTGAATAAACTGAATATTTGGGTTGAATAACATGATGTGAATATTAGTGTCGAGCAGATATACAAATTGAATTGATATGCACTTACATATTGCCGACAACCACTTCACACAACAATAATAAACCAAATTCTTTGTCCCCATATTTAACGAAGCGATTGATGCGATCCCTGAAATACAGCGCTCGGCCTATTTTGCCGTTTTCATAGCCGATGCCGTTATTCAAGATCTTCTTCAGACTCTCGTTGCCCTTCGAGTTGTTGTCAATACTATACCACAAAAGCATCCGTTTCTTCGTCTCGAGCGAACTGTTTGTGAATTTTGCGCTCAATTTATTGATTTCGTAGACTTTCTTCAGTTTGAGCTCATCTTCCAAATAATGAGCTCGACTTCTATCGAAGTATTTGCCAATTAATATGCCGTCCAATGAATACTTTGACACTTTGTTCAAGTCGTAAAAGTCCGGCAAATCTAATGGCTTTATAGTAAACAAGTGGTGAAGAATTCCGTCCAAAAAGCTTTCGCTTCCTACTTACAAACATTCAATACAATACACTATTCATACATCAGTTAATTGTCAATAAATATTATGTTTACCTCTTCTTCCGCTTAAGATATCACTGACTTTCCGATGACTACCGTTTGAGCCTTTCAAAGAGCGGCTCCTATTCCTGACAAACAATTTTCCGGAACCACTGCTGTGTTGAACGGTATGTTTGGCACAGAAGCCGGTGCTCTTCATGGCCGACACATTACCGCAATCACACCACACGCCAGACTCGCAGAC